AGGTTTTCATATGGTATTTTATCTTACTTTTGATCTTGCTGCTTTCTTGGAGATCGACTTTTGAATTGGTGAAACAACTTGGACTGTCTATCAAGTCTTTCCTCTTCCTAATAAAATTAATGATAACCTATAATAATTTCTGTACAGGTTACAAGTGGGAAGTGATTATCGTAAACACATTAAATATGGAGCTTTTACAGCAACTTCAATGTTCAAAAGAAATCATTGGGATTTAGGTTTTTCTGTGACTTTGGGGCAGAGCTTGCTGCAAATCAGCCAATGACTGAACAAGTTTMCAAAAAGCTMCGSCCCTTAGATGGAAGGAAAGAACAAAATCAAAACAAACTTTGAATTGAAAAAGTCRTGATGMAAMGTTTTTTACTGTAAATTATTTTATTGCTGACCTTTTGGACAAGTTTCTCACATCGTTTTTGTAATCTAGCAATTTCTTCATCCTTGTTGAGGATCTTTTGCTCCATCTGTTTGAATAAAGCCATCACRTCTTCCTTGGTCATCTTTAAGCCTTGGACTTCCTCACCATGGCGATGTAGCTCAGACATCCGCCTGTCCTCCATTTCCTGTGACRTTGAGTTCAGACAACAAAAAATACATTTTCTTGCTAAGGCATTAACTTATAACAATCTACTTTGCTAGTAAAGGACCCATGTGTCTTTAATCTGCATTTTATCATATCTTAAAGACCTACACCAGACCTACACCCCTGTGATTCACTAAATTAATTACATTTTACAATTATATATATATATATATATATATAATATCAAAGAGGCATTTTACAATTATGTATGATAAAATAGAATAAAGTTTTAAATTGCAACTCATAAATACATTGTACATAATTGGTAAAAAATTTGTAATTGAATTTTTAGGGAGACAGCATTCATACTTGCACATTGACTCTTTCAGCGTCCAACTGATGCTTTAGCTCTCTGATCTACAAATCATATTAATAAATTGAATTAAGGCCATAAGTATACAGTCAGATATTTGATCTCTACTTTAGGATAAAGTCTTTTAAAAATTAAGACTACAGGATTCATGCCAGTCTATGATAACTTTTMTAAGATAGCCTGGACTAAATATTTATAACTTAGCCAGGCCAGAACATGTTAAATTGCATTAATAAATTATATATAATATTAATTAACACTTCACCTCTATTTCATAACTGTGGATTGTTTCTGCATATTCTTTGTTTTCTCTCCTGGAAATAAAAAAAATTGTACAAAATAACATTTTCTTGTGATAAAATAAAATAGATTTTGAACCTTTTTTATCGACTTACTGCATTCTATTCGAAGCAGATATTAATTCTTGAACCAAGGCTTGACGACGATCACAATCAGACATTAAGTTCTCRAGTGTGTGGCGCAGATGCTGAGTAGTCTGCTCCTCAAGAACTACAGCTCCTGGTAAACATTAATAATAATCAACAATGTTAGAATATATTATCAGRAGTATAATACAGTTGAATCTCCTGTAAGCAGACAAAAAAGTGCCAGCGTGTAGAGCTGTCAGCCCAATAGAAAGTGTGAACACAGTTTTTATATATTAGAAGAAATGTAAAATAGAGCTGTCCGCTTACAAGTGTCCGAATGTGAAGATCACACTATGACTGAAGGTACAACGTAATCATACTCCAAAACAAAAATTTTGCACTTTACACTATATCAATTTTAGTTGCAGGCAAAGCTGCTAAAAACTAAAAACTATTGGAATTTTGTAGAATATATTTAAGTTATTCCTTGTGTTGTTGTGTGRAGCTAACATCAGAAACAGCTGCAAAGTTGCCATGTAATGTGCATTAWGTCAACTAATTTGAAACCATTATGAGTTATGGGTGTCGATGCCTTTGAATACACATCTACCTTTTGGAATTTGATCAATCCTAGATCTGGTGAGAATCATAACRGGATGAAAACCATGATGYCGTAATTGCTGATTTACTTCAGACCAATCACCAATAACTCCACTCTAATTTATAAATCAATAATATCGAATCAGCTAACTTTATAATTACGAAAAACAGCTTCCTGATTTCCAATAGATTGTCTGTGACTTACYGTTCTTGGAGAATCATTAGGCAACTCATCTATGAATTAATGAAAGATATTTTTAGGGATAGAATTAAGGGAAAAAATATAGTTAGACTAAGGTAAGAACAGGGTGAAAATGGCATCACAGCTATCTATACACAGAAAATCCTCCTAATGAACAGAAGATTTCAACAGATTTATAACACTTGTGTGTTGACTTTGACCCATGATCTTTTCTCAATGCTTTTTCATACCATTCCCAGCACCATCTTGAAAGGTAACTGAGTCAGATTTGCATCAAAGCAAGACAGCAGTTGAGCTTACTAATGATAGATAGCTTTGAATAATTGYCTTACAGTATGTGTGAACAAAAGGTATCTATCACTGCAGGCTCAACTCCTGTCTCACTTTGATGCAAAGGCTTAGCTGMCTTTCAAGAYGACACTTGAAAGTATTATAACAGAGCATCAAATAKTTTTGATGAATAGTTTTMTTTSAAGGAAAGGTTCAGTGACCGTGACATGCATATGTCATTGCACTATAACCAATGATATGTTATCTAATGTAAAATGCTTTGGAAGTGCTCTGCATTTATCTCTAAAGAAATAGTAAGGCATAAAGTGCTAAACAAAGCTTGTACATTTATTTCAAAGGATTAATAAATATTACTGGATTTACCTGGAATCTCTCCATAGGTTCCACCAATAGTCAGCATTGTACTATCACTTTTGTCCTATAAATTATATATTTAAATTAACTTTCAAAAGGAATATATAGTAGTTTTTTGCTATTCTTAGACATAATCCACATACAAAAGAATTTTTGTTTATCATGACAGACTAAAAACCTTGTTATTTGTCACAACTGCACTGATTGCTACATGAAACCCATTGTCAAAGAGGACTTGCACAGAGTGCCATGAATGAAGCTGTGATACCCTTGGAACTAACAGACTAACTATCTGAATGCTCTATGTATTTTCATTCTTGTTCAGTAATGGTTTTGTTAGAAAGGCAATGGGGACTAYGCAGTTAGGGGAAATACTTCTAGTAATTGTAGTAAAATGTAATGCTTCTAAGGCAAGACACTAAGAATTCAAAAATTAACCACCCACTGTATATATTATATCTACATTTATCAAATGTCAGCTGTCATTTTAGCATTTGGAATGTGAAATTGAGCCTCTTTAAAATGACACCAAAAAGATAATCTTACATTAAGATTAAGCTTATAACATAGGAACATCTCAGGATAAATAACAGCTATACTCTAATAGAGTATAAAGTCTTAAAAACTTACTCAGTTCTAAGTACTGTGTGGCTAAGTGATATTCGTTAACATTTAAGGAATGAACCAGTCAAATCGAGACAAAAAGACAAGCAGCAGACGTCTTTATCAGTTACATATTATAAAGTTTATAAAGGCATACAGTACATGGATATCAGCTGAAAGTCTATTGTTTTCACAGAAACGACGCATAAAATGTAAACTAAGTTAATTTAGCTGTATTATAGAACAAAAGAGATTGTGTATCCTGGCAACTAAAACGGCTGTTCTGCGTTTATAGATTGATTTTGTTTGTAAAACACTCCAAACTTCAAATCATGTTCCAACTTTTAGTCAACAAATCAAATTGTTAAAACAACGAAAAATAACAAATAACATAACGTACAAAACTGGTCCAACTTACGTCATCCATAATGAAGACTATTYCAATTCGCTTTCTCTTGTGAAAGTCACTGTGAAAATATAAATTATAGACGTTTTTTTAGTCTTTGAGATGTCTTCTCGTCCGCCATGTTGGATCACAACGTACACATTCCCAAATAAGGAATGATATGCAAATTTMTGAAGAACTTTGATTTGCATATTATACATTTTAGTTCAAATCAAARGATTTTTTTGCTATTTAAAATGACAACTTTTCAGTCTACTAGCAATTGTAACTTTACGCGGTGTATTTTGAAAATCTTTATAGATCCGTACGTGCAAAAATTTTACCGGTTAATTTTACCGGGAAAAATTTAGACCAATCAAAGTTCACTCGTCCCAGGTTCCTCTCGTATATATCCTCAATCGCACGTGGAGTTAGCGCAATCTGTCAAAATGGCTGCTGTAGAAAGTGGACAGTTAGGTAAGAGTTCTTCTTCTAGAAACAATACTTATGATTTTACACATCTTTCTTGATCCGTTCGAATTTAGATTTATAGACATATATCAGAATTTTTATCTGTTCCCACAATTTGATGTGGATTTTTATGTTATAACTATAAGAGAACGATCTTTCGCTGGTTGCTCTTAGCAAATAGTCCTTTGAGTACAGTTTTAACTTAATTTTACGTTATCTAAGATTTGGAATTACCTGTTTAGGAAGTTATTTTAATAATAATCTGTTGAATAAGTGAGACGGCATTCTGATACTTTTTTGAAAACAAATGAACGAATAAGTCAAGAATCGTGGATTTAAACTTAAGCTTAGAAAAATTTACATGGGAAAAGCTTCGAGAAACTACTGATCGGATCATAATAAATTATTAAGTACAAGTAGTACGTGCAAGATTCAGCTCAACGCCCTCAAAAAGTGTCCAACTCCAATTTTAGTATTGAAAGATAGACGGGGGGTGGTCTTAAAGTGGCGGTTCTKTTGTAACTTGAGACCTGCGCTGGTAACAGACCGATTTGAGAATATTTGGATAAAATGTTTTYTTAATTATTTGTCAATCAATTTTTGCACAATATATTCAAAGCAATAGTCAAGTTTGGATATTTTTGTTGATGAGGCTCTGGGGAAATTTGGATATAATCTTGGATGTATTCTTCTGTTTTCCCATAGCCTCAACTGCAATCTTTTTGWACACAGTCAGTTAACTATGGTGAATTGAACCAAAAGTCAATTATTTCTGGTACACAGGAAACGACTAGGGGGTCAAAATATAGTCACAAGATTGATCTTGTTTTGCTAAAAATGTCAGCTGAACCAAAACAATAGAAACTTAAAAATGTCTAAATTTGATGTCTGGCCATTATGATAATAATATATAGCGCAAGCATCCACAATTTCATATGCACTTGACACAGGAGAAAATTCTAATTTTTTTTAGACAAGTCTGTTGCATTATTGTTACTGTTTGWTAAYWTTTTTTTACTTACATTTTAGCTCTTCTCAGTGTATCAAATAAACAAGGACTTGTAGAATTTGCCAAGAAGCTCCATGAGTTAGGGTTCAGGCTAATTGCATCTGGTGGGACGGCAAATGCTATAAGGACCAATAATATCCCAGTAAGGTGAGAGTGCTCACTGTCTTTTAAGAAAATAGCCAACATTTTGTATCTATAATTTTACAGCATTTTTCTAATTCATTTTAATAAGATAAAATTGTTATAGTCAATGTAGTCTAGTCAACTTGATTAAATTAATTAATCTATATTATATAGATATTATAATAATTAGTGATCATTATTATTTGTTAATTTATCATAAAAACTGTTGTAGGGATGTTGCTGAAATTACTGGTGCACCTGAAATGCTTGGTGGTCGAGTGAAGACTCTCCATCCAGCTGTTCATGGAGGTATGATTTTCATAATGGGCATATTTGGTTCAGTTTTTGGCATAAATGTTACCGGGATGGTTGGACATACAACACACACAATACACAATACACTAATCTTTTAAGATATATAGAAGATCTGTCTCTATTCATTTCATATAGGGATTTTAGCTCGGTTATCTGAAGGAGATAAAAATGATATGGCTAAGCAAGGTTATGAGTATATAAGGTTAGTAATCATTAYCTTATGAATATAAAGTTGGTTATCACTATAACTGTAATATGTAATATGTCATTCATAACCCATGCTATCGCAAGTTCAGAAGCTGTTTTCTTTGCTACACAATTAATGTTTTTCATTTTCCTTTTCTTTTGTATTTATCTATTCTCATATTTTTGTGTTTTTAGAGTGGTGGTTTGTAATTTGTATCCATTTGTGAAGACAGTTTCTAAGGAAGGTGTCACTGTTCCAGATGCAGTTGAACAAATTGACATTGGTAAGGGAATAATCCTGTTAGACTATCTCTAGAAAACCTGATTTAAAACAGGGACAAAGACAGTTATGTCAAGCAATACTACAGCATTAACAATAATTTTCACAGTTTGTCATCAAAAAGAAATATGAAGAAAAAGAATTTCAAAAAACTTGCTTTTACCTTTCATCAACCTGATAGTGACAAGAATAACAATGTTTATAAATCTTGATTAGATAAAAGCAGTTTACAATTAAAAAAATTATTAAAGATTTCACCAATATCTTCAGGTGGGGTTACTTTGCTTAGAGCGGCTGCCAAGAACCATGCAAGAGTTACAGTTGTGTGTGACCCAGATGACTATGACAAGTGAGTAAATCAAATTCTTAATGAACTTGGAGGTTTCTAACCATACATAAAGAGAATAAGAATGTCCAGCCTACTGGATAATTTGTATAGTTTCTTTATATTTTTAAACTGTCAAATTTGTTATATTTTTTGAGAGAAATTTGTTATTATTGGGTATATCTAATTTGATGGTATTTATTCATTTGCTGAAGACTAGAAAATGCACAGTCACTTGTTTATTAATAATTTATATTACTGATGATGTTTGGTGAAGAAATGTCTCTGATAACTTTCATCTAGCTCTGCAGTCATGGAGTTATTACAGTCCAAATACTGTATTGAATTCCGAATATCATTCTTAATAAATTGACTCTAAATTGCATTAAACCCAGAGTTGCATCAGAAATGTCAGCAAGTACCTCTCACGACACCCAAGAAGAAACCAGGAAGTCTTTGGCATTGAAAGCCTTCAATCATACAGCTGGCTATGACCTTGCCATCTCAGACTACTTCAGAAAGCAGTTCAGTGAAGGATTGTCACACATCCCATTGAGATACGGCATGAATCCGCACCAAAAACCTGCTCAGCTTTACACGATGGAACCTCGTTTACCTGTCACAGTCGTCAATGGGTCCCCAGGATTTATTAACTTGTGCGATGCATTCAACTCCTGGCAACTTGTTAGAGTGAGTCTACATGTATATTAGAGCCTAACCCCACGGTTAGGTACAGGAAGGGATCAGTCCATAAATAAGGATCATTTTTTTTCCTTTTTTAAATAAAATAATGAGAAATAGGTAGCAAACATAAGTTTTTAGACTGAAAATAAGGTGTGGAAGACAATTTTCTTCCATTTATTGAAATACACTTTAATACACTTTTTTCAATAATTGCTACTGTAGTTGAAAATATTCATTATTCTGTGTTGATTGTAGGAACTCAGACAGTCCCTAAACATCCCTGCAGCGGCCTCTTTCAAGCATGTCAGCCCAGCAGGTGCTGCAGTGGGTGTTGCACTCACACCAGAAGAAGCTAAAGTTGCTATGGTTGATGACATGACTGATAGTCTTACACCTTTAGCTATTGCATATGCCAGGGCCAGGGCTGCTGATAGGATGTCATCCTTTGGTGATTGGGTTGCATTGTCAGATGTGTGTGACCTGCCGACGGCAAAAATTATTTCAAGAGAGGTAGGTAATTCTTTGAAGTTAATTTAATGTTATGATCAGACTTTTGATGGAAGCTTCAAATTATTATTTTTTTAGGGTATTGTAAGTGAATGCTAGTTGAGTTGAAAATGCCTGAAAATTACTGTGGGACAGACCTTTTTGTAAACTTGTTCAGTCATTGGCTGATTTGCAGCAAGCTCTGCACCTAAGTCACAGAAAAACCTAAATCCTAACGATTTCTTTTGAACATTGAAGTCACCATGCAACGGTTTCTGCTGTAACGTTATACGTTTCTTTGATCTGCATATTTTGTGTAGTTAGATTCGCAATATAGCCTATTTCATGTTGCTAGTGGCCAATATGACGCTAAGATCAATGGAATCTGCCCAGACCATAGAGATGGTCTTCCACAGGACATCATTGCAGACATCATTGTGTACAGCAAGGTGTAATATGATATTGATTGATTGCTTCAATGAAGGTTTCAGATGGTATCATCGCCCCTGGGTTCAGTAATGATGCACTTGAGGTGCTCAAGAAGAAGAAAGGAGGAAAATACTGTGTCTTGCAGGTAATTATTACTTGTAGAATAAGATAGTCATTAGAATTGTCAACATTGTGTTTTTGAATTTTATAGATGGATCCAAACTATGARCCAACTTCTATGGAAAGTAGAACAATCTTTGGACTCCATCTTGAACAACTCAGAAATAACTGTACCATTGATGGAGATATGTTTAAGGATGTAAAGACAAACAAAAAAGTGGTGGGTTATTTGCTATTAACAACTAACAGACTATATTGTTTTAGTAGTTCATATTAAGAAGTTATCTAGTTAACTACAAGTCTGAGGGCAAAAAAGATTTGACATGCCATTGCACATATTGTGATTATTACCGATACCTTTTGAATGYCTACAAAATGTTATTAGGATAATATAGCTGGTTCTAAAGATGAAACAATTATTTATTTTGTACTTGCTAGGTGCCAGAGTCTGCAATCAGGGATCTTATAGTTGCCAGTATTGCACTTAAATATACACAGTCTAATTCAGTGTGTTATGCAAAGAATGGACAAGTAAGTTTTCGTAATACTCAARGCCTTCAAGAATATTGTCTTTCTGAAGTTGTTGACAAGGAAACAGGAAACACAATATACAATATTTTGGAGGCTATTCTTCAGGGTCTAAGGGCATTTCCTGTACACATTCTGTAAGAGTAAACAATTTTAAATACTGAATTTTATTTTTCTCAGGTAATTGGTATTGGTGCTGGACAACAATCTAGAATACATTGTACAAGACTAGCTGGTGAAAAGGCTAACAAYTGGTATGTCTTGGTTATAAACAGTTTTATTAATGTTATGGTCGACACTTTACAATTTCATAGCCAAGATTTCAGGAYGTTTGTCTTAATACACACCATGAACTGTCTTACTGATCTAATAATAGTCACTGTATCTGGTATAGCTTGGTACAAATTATAAATTTAAGGCAATATCAATATTGTTTCCTTCAAGGTGGTTGCGTCATCACCCAAGAGTTTTAGGGATGACTTTTAAAAAGGTTAGATATACTTAACTATACAAGCAAAATACATATTATATAATACCAGTATGTAGTTGTGATGGTTGTATTGTATTATTCAAGGACTATTATTGAAATCTTCTAATTATATTTTTTTATTTCAGGGAACAAAGAGGGCTGAAATGTCAAATGCTATTGATGTCTTTGTGAATGGAACTGTTGGACAAGTATGAGCAAATTTGAAAATTAATGATGCCAGCTGAAATTGCCAGCCACCATTGTATAACAGTTAGCTCGGAGATAAAAATAAAATGTAATATCAAGTTGTTTTGTTTAGGATACAGATAAGACTACTTGGGAAGCTATGTTTGAAAACCCACCAGCACTGCTAACAGAGGTAAAACATTATTTATATGAATATTGTTTATACTTAAATAATTTAGTAATATAATGTTTGATGATGCAGTCCAAAATTAAACAACATGCTAGTGCAATTGTGAATTTTTTTCTGGGCTTGTCAGGCAGCAATGGAAATGATGGTAAAATAATTTGTCATGCAATTTTAGGAAGAACGTAAAGAATGGATTTCACAGCTTAAAGGAGTATCCCTGAGCTCTGATGCCTTCTTTCCATTTAGAGACAATATAGATCGAGCTGTACAGGTATTTTACTTTTGAAGTGTTTCAGMTTTTTCTTTATTTGAAGTAATCACGGCAATTTTTGTTTTGACAGAGTGGAGTGGAATTTATTGCCAGTCCAGCAGGTTCAGCCGCAGATGACATATGTGTACAAGCTGGGAATGATCATGGCATAACTATGATACACACAAATACAAGACTGTTCCACCATTAGCACAGTGAAATCGCACAAGGACAGCTGCATAAAGAATAGACAAGAGTACTTTCAGTGATTACACTGCTGACCAGTGAAAGAAAATCRACTGTTTGTGTTGTTATAGAAACAAAGTAAAAAGTCCAGTGTTTTTACAGATTAAAGTTAATCGCTCTTAAGGCTGCTATTTATTAATTTGGTGTTGWAGGATGAAAAAATTAGGCAACTAATAAAACGATTTTATTTCATAGTTGTTGTTGCTTTTTAGCAAATTTACATTTCTGCTTACATTCTATGGTGCCATCATCACTGACAAAAATCACTGCATGCAATGATCTTATACCAGGGTTCGTSGTACTTCTTGAAGTCCTTGATTTTCAAGGGCGCTTGAAAGCCCTTGAAAATGGGAACATTGTTGAAGCTCCTGAAAAACTCCTTGAATCTGATAAAATTGACATTGTTACTCGTTAGCTTTTGGATTGAAATGTGGCTGTTTTTGAAAATCGCCACTTGAGACTTCTGCAAACATTGAGAAATATCTTCTAAAACACTCCTTGAAAATCACATTTTTGTGCTTAAAAAGTACTTGAATTTTGCAGTGAAAATGTAGCACAAACCCTGTCATACCAAAAAAGATAGCACAAGAAAATGTTGTAGTTACAATAGCCCTAACAATTTGCAGGTTTCCCTAGAGGCTAACCCTGTATTTCCAGCCAGAAGTTTAAAATTTTATTCCTTTGGGAATACAGGATTAGTCTTAATTTGATAAAAAATGAAAATTTTGAAGGCTATTGTAATTGTATTGCTATTGTTATGTTCTTTGTACAAGAAATTCTATTGTCAAATACAACAACAATCATTCTCTTTGAATTCAAAAATGGAGCATTAGAAATAGTGCAGTCCATCAATACTGCTGGTCTTGTTTTCAAGCCAACTGACAATAAGTCGAGCAAAGCTGTTTAGGTGATTGGTGACAGTCAATTGGCAACTAATAAGTATATTGTGGTTTTTGCCCAGACTGGCCACCTATAACAATTCAAACAGTATTGTATCAACTGGTGGCAATGTACAATAAAACTGCAGTAAATGACAGCGCAAAATAATATACAAACTGAGTTTAGACCCCAGCTGACATTGTAAATTCACCGTTTGTCATTAGTTATATCTAAATATTATAAAGCTTTCCTTTACTCAAAGTAATTAATTTGGTTGGGGTTTTATAGGCAATCCTCCCATGATAAGATTTAGTCCTGGTTCAACAGTGAATTCATCATCAGAATCAGATTCACTTTCCTCCTCACTACTACTATCATCGTCGTCGTCATCATCATCATCRTCATCATCATCATCCTCATCATCCTCATCTTCTGAGTCTGAGTCTTCATCATCATCACTTTTGGTCTCTTCAGCTTCTTTTTCTAAACAAAAGTAAAGATAATTCCCTCACTGATGTCAATAATAAATTGAGGCATAAGAGCATGTGGTATTATTTGCTTTGCTTAAAATTGAAAGAGTTAAAACAATCTTTGAATTATAACAAGAACATGTTACATGTTCTAATAATAAGTTATTACCCTGCTCCATTTTCTTCACAATTAATCCATGAAACTCAGTACATACACTGTTGTCAGGCTCAACCAGCAATACTGAAAGAAACCAAAGATGACAGTAAAATAGCTTGATAATTTAAACTAAACAATGCAAACTAATTGTGTAAGTCCTTACTTTTCAGGCAAAGATCTTTTGCTTTTTCATAATCTTCATCCATGACACATTTTAGAAATTCTCCCTTCATTTCTATTGGTGCACTGGGTTTTTCTTCAGAATCTGTATCACTTTCATCAGAATCAGTTTCTGATTCTTCTGAACTTTCAGGATCTGATTCTACTTTGGTGTTGGGCTTCTGCTCAAGTGGAGACTTTGGTTTGAGCTTACCCAAAGCTGCATCATTATCTTTAAGTACTGTAGCAAGTGTAGTTTTATCTGTTGGTTCAAGCTGTCCCTCATCTTTTTTCTTGAGAACTTGGAGTTTTTTCTCAACTCTTCCTGCACTACCACAGCGTGACCCCCCTGAACTTGGCCTTGGAGGGGGAGTTTCAAATTTTACCTGGCCAGGTTCTAGTTGAATAACAATTAATAATGTGTTCTGATTATACCTAAGTTTATGTTATGCACATGTTTAAAAAATGGTTGTGAAACGTAAGGCCATTGCATGACCAAAAAGGAGCCATGGGTTTTACTARTACTCCAATGATAGGCTGTAAATTGTTCACATTTGATCTGATTAACACCAAAGTTTGTGAGTTTCATATTATATTTACAGTGCGATCTTTTGTTCTACTCTTTAGCAAGTTTTATTTTACCATTGTGCAAATTAAGGGACTTTTACCAGTCCCATGACAGGAAATCAGGCAATTATTGACAGGTGCTGGCAGTGTTTCTTTTTAAATAATTTCATATTGTATTAATTATTGTTGTATAATTAAAGTTTTATAGTGTTATTACCTGGTGATAGTGATATAAGGCCTTCAGAGGTAGCCTAAAAATGGAAACAAAATCAATTCTGATACAAGATCTTTCTGATCTTATGGGTTTTTTTTTTCAGAACTGCATTTTCTAATGACTGGATCAGTGCAGCATGAATGATGTGAATTGATTTTGAACCAATCAGGAAAGCACCTTTCCTTAGTACAGTAAGCTTATTTTCTTGGACAAAACAAACAACAACAATGGTAAATGTAGACGTCTCTTTGATTGACAGTACCATTCTTACATGTCATTGAGGTATGTAATCCTTGCTTTACCTTTTTAAGAGGTTTTCTTGAAGCACTGGTACTAGAACAAGGTCTAAAATTTAAGAACATTCATCAAAATATTACTAAGCTTATAAGCTTAATCCTGCAGCTTATTTTCCTTTTTTTGTTTAAAGTTATGTATTTTTGAATTCATTCTTACCTTGATATTTCTTCTCCTTTATGGATAACAGTCATTGTATTGTCTACGGGTGTTGCAACTCTTTTTAATTCAGCCATCACAAAAACTGTTCCGTCTCGAACTCTTTTTGACAGGACCGTTGTAAAACACGTTACCTTAGCTACAAGACGACTCTTTCTAAAATATCACTCTGTCTGCTTTAGTTAAGCCAAATAAATCTGAGACAGGCAGCTGAAAACTCTGAACTGTGTCTCACATTTCTTTGTGTCTTTAAATTCTACAATTTTAGCAATGTTTTTGGAGAAATTGAGAWAAAATATATTTCGTGTCGGCCGCCATTTTGAACTTCGCGCCCATTGTTCATGTATWCAGCGGCATTCACCAGAGCATGCGCAATGTAAAGTCCATTTCGAATAGTAAATCAGGAGGAAGGAAAAATGGCGACGTCTCATATTTGTTCTTGTTTTGGAAATCTAAGACCTCGCTACAAACGCTTGGTGGATAATATTTTTCCAGCAGATCCACGGAGTGGCTTAGTAAAGTCAAATATGGACAAACTGATATTTTATGCCTTGTCCTCACCTGAGAAACTAGACCGAATTGGAACTTACCTGGCCAGAAAATTAACTCGATTTGTAGATCGTAAACGCTACGACTTTGTAACAATTGCCATGGAAGCTTTGGATCTTTTGTTAATGGCTTGTCATGCTCCAAATTTGAACTTATTCGTGGAGAGTTTTCTACGGATGGTGCAAAAACTTGTGGAAAATCCCGAAGTGGATTTGCAGGTGCTCGGAACCGCTTCATTCGTGAAGTTTGCCAACATTGAGGAGGATACACCGTCCTATCACCGACGATATGACTTTTTCGTGTCTAAATTTAGCTCAATGTGCTGGTACAATGGAAAGAACGAACAGGAAAATCTCAAAGTCAGATCGGCAGGGTTGAAAGGATTGCAAGGTGTTGTTCGTAAAACAATCAGTGATGATTTACAAGTCAATATATGGGACCACACACACATGAATAAAATAGTGCCGTCCTTGTTGTTTATCCTCGAAGAGCGCGATAAAACGACAACCAGTAGAAGCAGTGATTTTTCTGGCAATTCATCAGAAGATGTAACTCACCTTGCTGAAGCATGTCTAAGAGAGCTTATGAGTCGAGCAAGCTTTGGAAACATTAAAGCAGTTATAAATCCCACATTAGCTCATATCGATGCCAGTGAGCTCTGGGTTCCTACCACATTTGCACTGAAAATGTTCAAGATGATAATGTATTCAGTGCAAAACCAATACAACCATGTTGTTATAAACATGTTGCTGAAACATTTGGACAACAACTCCAAGGAGTCTGCAAAGAAGAAAACTGGTATTGTGTGTGTTTTATCAGCATGTGTGAAGCTGGCTTCAGGAGCTTCAATTGGGCCAGCTGTCCTTGAAGTCTTCAATACATTATTACATCACTTGAGGTCTTCAGTGGATGTGAGGTTYAGTTCAAAGCTGTCCAAATCTTGTGATGATGATGAGAAGGAGTTTGAAGAATCACTTGTCACTACCATTGGTGCYTTTGCAGCTCTTCTTCCTGATTTCCAAAAATCTGATATTATGATGTTTATCATGGGTAAATTCCCAATGCCCAGTCAAAATCTGAGGAAAGCAGACAGAAGCTCAATCAATCCTCTATCGGAAAGTGACACTGCATTGCAAAAAATGCTTTTGAGAAGTCTTCTRAAGGTTTCAGATAGCTTCAATCCTACCTCCTTATCAGCTGCATTTCCTCCATCATTCATTGAGGCTATATTCCAAGCAACCATTGTGGAAAACCAAGAAGTCAGGAGACTTGGTTTGGAGGTTATCTACACCCTCATCGATCGTCATGGTAATATACCAAAGCTAGGTCTCAATGGTGTGCTAAGGCATGGGCAAGAGRTTGAGCTTACTGTTGAGAAGTGCTCTAAGCAGGATTTGATGTTTTTCAGAAAGTATCATGACAGGATGCTTTGGTATTTGTATGAAAGTGCATGCATGAAAACAAACACTGTTGACAATATCCTTGCCATTTATTTAACTCTTGCAATCTTGAGTACWGAGGTTAATGAGCTGGAGGCCATTTCCAAGCTGATTTCTTTGTCATTTGGTTTTCAAAACSTTGCTTTAAATGAGGACATTCCCATTTCAAGTACAAATCGGTGTGCYCTTCATGGTCTGACCGCTGCCCAGCTTCACCTTGCTGCTCAACACCTGAGGCTCAGTAGTCTTGGTGATCATGTTACCGAGGTCATTCATTTCCGAGAGAAAGAAGCTCCATATTTGGTGCCTTTCAAAGCATTCACTTTGGAAASTGTTCAGTTRTCAACTATAATATTTGGACAACAGTTAATGTTCAATTTGAGCAGAGTTCAAGATGTCATTAGCAAAATTGGAGTTGATTCCAAAYTTGTTCGTATGTCCTATGTACAGAAGCCTTATGATGAAATGCTACAGAATAGCTCCTCACCAGAAATCTTAGTCGCATCTGTTCCAAGTGAATTAGACTCTCATCCATCATCTGGAATGCRCCCTKCCACTCCCAAAGAGTATATTACTTTCCAAATGTTGAAGGACATTGTGGCCGATAGAGCAACACCCAAACAGCAAAGTGATGACTCCAAGAGACAGTTCAATGATGCAAGTTTTGCTGAGATTGCTGATGATGCCAGCTTCAGGTTACGTGAGTTTAATTCAAAACTTGATAATGTCCTGGATGTGTGTGCTACTCCAAGAACTCTTAGTGCATTAAGTATTTCAACTATCAGTATCTCTTCAATACCTGGTGACGATGCTTTTGAGCTGAAATTCCCTGAGCAATATGTKTACTGATTCATGTAAAAATTATCCATTTAAATGAATGAGTGGAAACAATAGATTGGAAGGCACTAAGCTGAATTAATCAGCTATAAGGGATAATTCACAGATAGGTGATGAATACTCTTTTGAGATTTTACTAAAACATRAGATTTCAAATATTTGAGCTTTGTCTTCAATTTTGAGAAAATACCTTGGCAATATGACTATTACAATTGACTGTTCTTCCATGATGTTGTTTGAAAAGAATATATGATTTTCAGGGTGTGTGTTTTAAAAAATGTCACAGAAACGTTTTCACTTAAAATATAATGAGCTTTAGACAACTGCCTGAAAATATCTTGATTTAAAGGCTTAAAAATAGGAAAGGCAAATGTTAGAAGTTAAAGTTTCTCATTTTATACCATGCACATGCATACCACACAAAAACAAAAAAAACAGGCCATGTAGCAAAAATCTTAGACACATTTTGAATGATAGCATTCCAATTTTTCTTATTATTCTAATACCAGTTTCAGGTTCTGAGGGGGCACAGGAAGCCCAATATTCAAACAGAGCACTTTCTATTAGTGCTGAGAGAGTTACATTATAATTATCAGAAAAAAATCTAAATTTTGTATAGTTTATAAAGAAAGAGTAGAAAATTACTGAAAACTAGACAAATAGGTTTTGTTAACTTCTAAATAGGCCTGTCTGGCCTGACAGCTCTTACTAAATACAAAGCAATCAAAGATTTTTGGGCAATTTTGAAAAGGGTGAGCTATTTTTGAGAGATTGCCATGCCCTCACAATAATTTTTTGAATGAAAATTGCAACTACATTTGACCAAAATATAATTGCAATTGCATTGCTAACTTTTCATATTAAAAGAACAACTACAAGTACCGTCATTTTGCCCTTCAATGTGAGCATTACTATTTATATAAATGTTTATTTGATTCATACAGTGCAACATTACTTTTCATTTCAATATTACTGATCAACAATTTGACAGTAGCAATGAGGACGAGATAAAATTATGCTGTACAAGTTTACTGCATTTGAACATTT